CTACCTACTAGTACCTACCTACTAGTACCTACCTACTAGTACCTACCTACCTACCTACCTACCTACCTACCTACACCTATAAACACTGCCTCGACCAACATTAGGGGTATTTGGGAATTGATCGGAATGGTCTTCAGTCCTTAGCCTGAGTCGTAATTACCAGATGGTCTAGCAAACCCATGAACTCTCCGGTGACCAAGCGACAACCTTTTAAGGTGCCAATCGATACTCTCTGATTGAGACAGTCATTTTTGGTCTGGGGCTTGGGCTTCAATGTGATACAGTGACACCGGGGAAACCATTTGTTGACTGGGCCGTGGAGGTCTTGACCACTGCAAGTCAGAGCTCGTGGCTGAGGGCAGAGGTTTGGGACTGGGCATTTGCCAATGTGTTACATAACTCCACCATGCCACAAAGCAGGCGAGTGGGAAGTCTTTGTTTACTAAACAGTCGGTTTGAAGAACATCAGGCTTGGCAGCAAAAAGAGTTGTGCGTGGCCGTTTGCGTAATGGAGCTTCTCCAGCAGTTGTGTTGAGCAAGATGTTTGGATTACATATGCATCTCAAGGTCAGGCACCCTGCCCTTGATGGCTAGGTCCTCTTCTACATACTGTAGCTGTTTGACATTGAACCGAGGATGTGTACTGACTCTAAGACCTACTGTTATGGCTTTGAGTATCGAGCTCACCAAGCCCGCTGTGAAGCTCGGTGCACGTGCGCAGGTGGTCCGTGGCTCAGACATGCTCAGACGTTCTCATCCAAGGAATTGTGGACGCAACCAATTTGCCATCACGAGGAGGCAGCGGTGCGTCATGAGGAAATCACGTTGTGCTGATCCGTGTTTGCCAAGAAGAGTTGTTACCTTAGTGTCTCGATTTGTCACATACTCTTCCAATCAAGGTTTCATTGCAAATTTTGTGAGAAAACGTCGAATCAGCGACCACCGCGTCGAATCGGCGACCAGACCCAGACCCACCCCCATCAGCGACCAGGTTTCACGGATCTGCAGCCAGGTTGCTCCGATCTCCTACTGATTGTGAGCGACATACCTTCACAGTGTAGTGACTCGTGCTTTTCACTCATTGCATGTCCTAGTCGTTTGAAGGTACCGTTACTTTAAAGCGAAGCACCTGTGAATTGTAACTGTCAGCATATGCACCCGTCACGAAATGTCTGCCCTGGATCACCCAAACAGAAAGTTTCCCTTGCGCCCGCGACGAAGAGTGGTCACCAAGTCTGGTATCACAAGGAGAGCGCAGTCTCGAAGAGCACCCGTGCCAGCCTACCAGATTTTGCGAGCATGTGCAGTCTCACAAATGGTTTGCTACCTTGGAATGGTGGCTCACGAAAGGTTGTTGGACTTGCACCTTTTTCTCCTAAATTATTGTACTTTCGTGCGGGCCGCATCGTTGAAATTGCACCTCCTTCATCTGAATTTACCCTCAAGTGGCTCACAAAAGGTCTGCTACCTTGTAATGCAACCTTCCTCCTGTAGATTTTGCCCTCAGGCGGCTCACAAAAGGTCTGCTACTAACTACCTTGGCATGGCCTTCTCCTCTAAATTTGATCCCGTCGCTGCTCACAAAAGGTCCGCGCCGTTGGAATGGCGCTTGCTTCATCCAAAATTTTACCCTCGGGTGGCTCACAAAAGGTTCCTCTTCTAAATGTTGCTTTCGGGTCGCTCACAAAGGGTTTGCGCCGCTGGGATGGCACCCGCCTCTTCTAAATTTACCGTTGAGCGGTGGGAGCCTTCGGATTGTGATCGCAAAATGCATCAAAATGCTGTAGGTTTTGACGACAAGGCTTCACAGATTGAATGCAGGTGGATGTTAAACCATTTTCTATATGGAAGTGTTCAAGTCACGGCTAGTGTCTCACTTACTCCGGCCACCTCACTCAACATTTGGTGCCTGTTGTGTTTTTGCAGTGCTGCTGGTAGCGTTCAGATTAAGATTTCACTCTGACCCCACTCTGGTCATAGCAAAAAGCAAAGAGGCTACCGGGGCGACAAACGGCCAAATTACTGGTTTTGTCGCCACAGTAACCTGGCTGGTCTCTCCTATTTCCAAGGCGAACATAGCAGCCAGGAGGAAGGTATCCAGACACCTTGCAACTTCTAACATCTTCTAACTGTTATATAACCCCCCTGTTAAGACTATAGTTTACCTCGGCCTTCCACCTGTGCCAGCCTCTGGATCGTGACAACAGTTAAGCCCCAAGGAAATAAGAAAGATGTACAAACGGTTCAACACTGGAAGTCTTTGATAATCTACCGAGGCATAGAGATGCGCTGCAATGTTGACACTAGGTCGGTCCTGATTGGTCTCCGATCTGGGCTGGGCTTTTGGCAGACCGCCCGCGCAGTTGGTCTTTGATTCTGCCAGTTTCCGATCTGGGCTGGACTGTTGGGTTTGCGGCCGGCGCACCACGTCTCCGGTCTTGCCGGTCTCCCATCCGGGTTGGATGTTTGGGTTCGCCAGATCTTCGATTCTGTTTCTTTGGTCTCTGAGCCCGCAACTCCGATCCCGTGTTTTTGGTTTCCGGTCCTGGCCCCCCCAGTCTCCGTCCCTGGTCTCCGATTGGACCCTGCCGCCGCCCTTTGTTTTGGAGATGAGATGGCGACGTCCAATCTTTGAGACATTTTTCTGATACACTGAAGTCCTGCCTTGAGATGAAATTCTCCCCTAGGGCCCTAGGGTGTGCCTTTCTTCACCTCCGGGAACGGTAAAGTACTGCCGCAATATTCCTGCTCCCAGTGCAAGGGTGCACACACACAGATATATATATATATATATGCTACCCCCCAAAATATCTACCTGTTTGGTTTGCTACTCTCAAATGTTGAAGTCGTGGCGATGTTGCGTTTAGTTGGGGAGAAGACAAGGCAGCAGCGGCAAACAAAACGACGATCAAGCAAAACGCCGATCGCACAGGCAAACGAGTGGGGAGGCAGGTGGGGAAACAAGTAAGGAGACAAGGCAGCAGCGGCAGACAAAACACCGATCACACACACAAGCGGGGAGACAAGAAAGAAGGAAGGAAGGAAAGAAAGAAAGAAAGAAGGACAGGGGCGAGAGCAATATACATGATGAGGTAACTAGAGATTTTCAATCTGAGGGCTTTCCTTGGTGGCACGGGTTCTGACCTCGGTCACCCTCTCGTTCATCCTCGTTCCGATACCCCTCTGCAACTTGTGTGTTTCAAGTAAAGTGCCCAGAGCCTGGTCCAAAGAGATGTCAAGGGACCACAAGGAGATTAATTATTAACATCATTGCTAAATCATTGCGTTTCCATGCCAGAAGCTTGTTGTGAATACACGAAAATTGTGCTTCGGATGGAGCTTCAGAACACATCAAAACCATTGCCAAATCATCGCGTTTACATGCGGTAACAGTGTTTTGAATACATGAGAACTGTGTTGGGGAGAACGCGCCAAAGACATTCAAAAATCATCGCGTTTACAGTACATGCGGGAACAACGTTTTTGCAAGGACTATGCCGGGACCCCCGTCTTGGCGTCGCGCTTACATCGGGGAACACAAGTTTTTTCATAGTGTGCCGTGACTTCCGCGGCTGAGTGTAGCATGGTTTTTACCCTGTGTTGTCCTGTGATATAAATGGGTTAATATTAGCAGAACGGCTCACCAATGCACACAGATAAGGACATATGTTTTCCAGGTTGGGTAATTGGAGAACAAGGATACATTCCAATTCATTTTTTTAGTAGGTTCTAATTTCTAATGCAATTGCAAATGTAAAGGTTAGTGAGTATAACTGATCATGTGAATTTCATTATTATCAACTCAAGTTGTTACATTGGACTTGCACTTCAAAGTATGAACCTCATGGTGTACAAGTGTGAAGACCCCAGACAAAAAGAGACATAACAATTTACAGAATTAATTGTGCACATGACAATGAACAACATTATATATCAACACCCCAATCCATACTGTCAGTTGCACCCAGTGCAATTGCGCGTATGATAATTTATGAAAACAACTGCTTATATGAGTTGTTAGTTTGTCGTTGTTTTTACACGGTGGCATTACACTTAAACAACTCAAATTCGGAATCAACAGAATACGTGCGTGACAGTCACAGACATTGGGCTAGCACAACTAGAACATGGACCTGCATGCTTTATAATTGTGAATACCACAGGGTAACACATAAATTCACAAAACTATTTGTGTGCATGAAAATACCATATGTTAAGATTGCAACTCATATTGCCAAGTTGTGGCGCGTTTACAATGCACCTGTGCAAATGAGATTTGATGAAGACAATTGAAGTGACAATTGATAATATACATTGTGTTAGCCTTCTCATACCTTCAACTGTATCTCATGCAAGTGGAAGAATGAAAATTGATGAAAACGCTCACATTGAAGTTGAACGTCTCAATACTTTGATGATTATTTGACAATTGTGACAATCACGGATAAACATTACAATTGACAGGCTCACTTGTGATTTTGACAACTTACAATACTACAGTACATATAATTGCTGCAGTTCACACTGTTAGTTGTATTTCTAATGCATTTGTGAAATGTGCAAGTTGATAAAAACAACTGACCATGTGAGTTGTGAGTTAATAAATTGACACTATTGCACTAGGTTTTTACACCTGACATGTTGAGTTAAACAAATGTTATACAACTGTGAAATACTGTGAATATTACAAAGAACCACAACAAATCACACAATTATTTGTGCACATTACAATGCAAAAAAGAAGGGGGGAGGAGAAGAAGGAAAACATAGGTTGCACTATCACTAACTGACTATAGCTAGTATTTTGGATCTTTAAATTCACACATTGAGTTATTTTCGCACTGACTGACATATTGAGAGTACTTCTATCAAATTCACATACTACGTTCTTGACAGGTACACGGTACACAGAAAGTCTTCGGGGACAATAGTTCCTTAAAAGATCTTAAGAATTTCCTGGAACCAAGAACCAAGATTGCACAGAAAGTCTTGGGGAATTTTTTGGTTCTGATGAGAAGGTCTTCTTTGAACCAAGAACAAAGATTGACTACAAGACTTTCTGTGCAATCTTGGTTCTTGGTTCCAGGAAAGTCTCACGATTTTTTGAGATTGTTTAAATATTGTTTTTGTTTTCTTGTTTTTTTGTAACACTCTTCACATGAGATGTTCACACTAGTACCTCCATGTGCAAGTCACATGTCGAGATGACAACACACCTGGTCTTTACAGGCCGCAACCGCTCAAGCGAAAAGAGCGTGAAGTGTTAGATGGTAGCGGAGCAAGGATCCTGATTCCAGTTGGTCTCAGGTGAGCTCCAGGGACAGGACCCAATCCCGTTTGCATGGAGAGGACAGGACCCGATCCTCAGCCTCACGAGCCATAGCAGCTGGTGAGCAGAGCAGCCGGCAGCTTCACAGCAGCGCGGCTGGTGGGCAGAGCAGCTGGCAGCTTCACAGCAGCGCAGCTGGTGGCAGAGCAAT